CAGATTTGGCCATATAAATTTCTTAGTTGGTTTCTAATTTTATTTTGGTATTTTATTGATCATTTAATTATATACATAGGTCTAAATGCAGTGATAACTTCAGAGTAAACTTCTGTCTGGATATTTTGTAAAGTATTATATATCAGCTTGTTTCACTTGATCAGGATCCAAGAGTTTTCTAATTTATCTCAGTTTTAATCTGCTGTAACTATGATAGTCTGGTATCATGGTTCTCCAAGATTCTTGTATTTACATATTCTTATATTAACATGTTCCTGTCTTGAAAGGAACTGATATTGTTTATTCCCTTTAAAGCTTAGATTCTAGAAGAAATACTAAATTGATTTCCTGTGAAGATTTAGTAAGCATCATTTCTACATTTGAGATGGAGTTCTTGTTTCTGTTATACCTAATTTAAGAGATTTGTTTTTAAATGTTTGTAGTGTGGCCATGTTACAGATTTAATTTATCCGAATTTTATATTGGTAGGGAGGAAAACATTAAAACTTTATAAACTGATTCATAAAAAGTAAAAAAAAAAATACTTTATCAGTATTTAATCATCGCTATAAGCAGTTGCTAGACAATGCTAATCAGTATATTCAGTATTTTTCTATAGAATCATTCTAAAATGTTTCTGGTTAACTTAATACCTATATTAGGAACTTTCACAGGATATTTTTCCCCTTGAATTCTGAGGGTGATGGATTAAGATATAACTTAAATTACTGTTTATACAATGTATATTTTAAATTGTGGGTTAGATTAAGAAGAATATATTTTTCTCTTAAGACCATTAAAATTATTAACTACAGTTAAATCAGTTCAGTTAGCACTTGATAATTCTTGTTTTGTTGATCTTGGGTTAAATAACTGCTTACACAAAGTTTTCTTCTCTGTGTAATAGAATCATGAAAATTCTGACCTATTCCCTTGATGCAATTATTACAGATATTTATTCATGAAGGTAACTCCAGCTTTATACCAAAATGCCTGCTGGCATCATGAATTAGTTATGATGGTTTGATGTAGTTCTTTTTTTCTTTTCGATGTACTTTGAGGTCAAGCCCAGGACTTAATTCATGCTAAACAAGCACTCTATCACTGAGCTACACTCCCAGACCTTTTTAGTATAGTTCTTTACTGAGAATTTTCAGTGTTTACTTAGAAGACACATTTTTTCCTTCAGGTACAGTAACATCAAGAATATTGTGTTTATTTGTTCTCATTGCTCCAGTGTAGCTTCTTTGTTCTCTGTGTCTTGTGTACAACTATTATCTTAGAATTTTATTCACCCTTAATTGGGATGTCCTTTACTGCTTTCGCAGGACAGTTGCTTTCCATACCCATGTGTCTTTATTGACTTTTTCTGCCTCTTGGGGGAAAAAGGTTCATATTCTTTAATAGCATTTGGAGAAAGGTACATGGGAAGTATGTTTTTAAGACACGTGTGTCTGAAAAATGTCATTGTATGTGTTATACTTGACTGATAGTTTGGCTGGGTATAGAACATTAGGTTGAAATAAATTTCCTTCAGAATTTTAAAGGCACTGCTACATCATTTTCTTGCGTCTGTTATCACTATCAAGAAATTGCAATCTACTACTATTTCTGATTTCTCTCCTTTAGTGGAAGCTTGAGAATTTATTAATTACCTCTTGTGTTCTGAAATTTCATTGTAGCATGCCCTAGTTTGGATTTATTGCCATTTCCTGATATTTATTGGACTTTACTGGTCTCTGCCTTCCTTGTGTCCTTCTTTCTTTTTTTGTTTGCTGGGGGCCTCACCTGCAGTAAGCAAGTGCTCTGCTGAGCTACTTCATCGGTCCTGAAATGTTTTCTTAGCTACTTCACAGGTCCTGAAATGTTTTCTTGTGATTTCATTGGTAATGTTTTTTCTTCTGCCATTCTGTCATTCCAATTTGATGATTTGGACCCTCCAACTCTATTTTTTCCTCCTATTTTTCTCTTTTTGTTCTGGCACATTTCAACTTTATGATGTAGTTGTTCTGTTGAGTTTTTCATTTCTGTTATCATGTTTCTCTATCAATTTCTATTTTTTATTTCTTGTCTATAGTACTCTGTTCTTAACTGGAGTACAACACTTTTTTTCTATCTATTAATGTTTATTGAAGTTTTTTTTTTCCTCTCGTGTATTTTATTTAAAATTTTTTTTGTCTGCCCTCCATGTTACACACTTTTCTCAGTGGCTTTCTTCCTTTGCTGATTGCATAATGTAATGTGGAAGACTAAAAAGTTGAGTGAAATATCTAAGTTCAGCAGTTTTGAAATTTTCTATGAGATGATCCATGTAGATGTCCTAACTAAACAAATGAAACTTGTATTTACCAAATGCATGTCTATCAAATGTAGTGAAATTTTCTTTAGGTTCTATGGAATTTTCAGTAATTTGCATATGTATAGTTTTCTAGTGTGGTATATAAAAAATGTAGTACTTGACTAGAATTAATTCCCTTCTTGCGGTTTTCTTTTTTCCTCATTACTACATGTGTACTCTTGGCAAATGAGTATTCTTTGGATATAGAAATTAGAGATTGTAGCACTCAATCTTTAACATGGTTTTTGGAAAAGAAATGTGAAACATGCTAGTTTTTAATTAGGAAGAGATAAAACATTGGATAATCTTGGAAATGTTTACCTAACATGAGAATTTTTTTCCAAATATGTATGTTTTTACAAATGAAATGATTGGGCTTATAACAATAGTCCTAATCTAAAATTTCTGATAAAGATTATTTGTGGTATTATATGATCAAGGTGTGTGCTGTTTATAAATAGTAAAGTTTAAAAGTAGGTAATTATATTTTTATAGTATTCCATAGACTCTTCAGAGATTAACTATTTTATGCACATAGGTGCTCCAGTGTAGTGCCTATAAAAACACTAAAAACTGAAAAGTGCTCTACAAAAGGTATTTTGGATTCTGTAGTATGGAGGCTTTTATATCATGACTAAAAACTTATTTGACTACTATATAAATATAAGAACACAGACTCTAAAAATGAAGATTCTTAAAAATGTAGGACTGGGTTTATAGCTCAGCGGTATAGTGCTTGCCTAGCACATGTGAGGCACTGAGTTCGATCCTTAGCACCACTAAAAAATAAGTAAAATAAAGGTGTTGTATCCATTTACAACAACAACAAAAATTTTTTTAAAATGTAGAAATTTCTGAGATTTTTGTGGTAGAAACAAAAGCACTGTGAATTAATTTCAATTTTCCACCTATTGAGCAAATACTCTTTCACACTGTGACCAGAGATTGGATAAAGATATGATTTCTGTTCTTAAAGAAAGATGTAAGTAATTTTAATGTGTTAAGTGTGAGAGAACCTGGTTTGTGGAGTGGGCATAGTAAGGAATAAGAAGAGGAATGTTAGTGATAATTTAGGTTGAATCATTAATAGGATTTACTAGGTGAACTAGGATAGTTTTCTTTGGAACAGAGTGTGAAAAGTGTTGGCACTGGCACCAGTCACCTGAATAGCAGCCTACCATTTTCTCTTCTTGTTACCATAAGACAGAAACAGAACCAACATATGACCAGGTAGATAACTCTGGGTTGGGTCTGAGTGTAGTCTGTATTATATTTCAGCTTTTAGTTGTTTTTTGAAGCTAGTCTCATAGCATGTTTCTGCTACCACTAATTGGTGATTAAACCTGTTAAGATTGGTATGAGAATTGACATAGTGTTTATAAAATGTGTTCATCATATATCTCTAAATATTTTGGGAGTTTATAACAGTCCTGCCCCTCAATTAAATTTATATTCCAATGCTACAGTAATATTTATCTGTTCAAATCTTTCCCCTTTTATCAACATTTACTTTTAGTGAATAGATTTTGCTTAAGCTATCCTCAGAGAATCAGTCATATTTTTGAAGAATTAATTTGGCTTATATCAAGTATAACTTTTTTCCCCGATATGGTCCTTAAAATAGTTCTTACATTTATTATCCAGTTTGCCTCATGGAAAATGAATAAAGACTTTTTAAAGCTTAGTGATTTATTTGGTTTCTTTCTTTTTCTTTTTTTTTTTTGTGGGGGGAAAGATATTGGGGATCCTTCAAACCCAAGGCCTTGTGCATGCTAGGACAGTGCTATATCCCCAGCCCTAAAACTGAGTTATTTTTAAAAACAAAATAACAACAACAAAAAACCCTTTTATTATGGAAGCTTCCAAATACAGAAATAGAGTGGAATAATGTGCCTCTCACTGAGTTTGAATGATTTATCATTTCATGGGGCCAGTCTCCTTTTTACTATATTCCTACCACTCTTACTATATTCTTAGAAAGTTTTAGTGATGTATGCATTTAATGATGTATAAAATAACACAGGATGGCTAAATTTCAGGAAGATAGACCAAGGAAGAATGAAGGAAAATGTGGATTCCATAGCTAATGGGAACCGTCAAACAAACAGGTTCTTTTCAGTGAATTTGGCCTTTTCTTGATGGCTATGTTACTGCCAAGTCACAATTTTGAGGTCGCTTTTAAATTTGCCTGTTAATGTTCTCACATTCAGACTGGCTTTTACCCTTTTGTGCCCCCTGTTTTTTCTTCTTAGTGTCTATGTTCTGTTTGTTTTTCCCTAGCATTAAAATGTTGGGAGGTCTGTGGCAGGGCATGAAATATAATTTGCCTTGGGACCAAACACTTAACCTGGGGATGTATTTATGATCATCTAGACTACCAAAGAGAAGACATTTTTATTCTTATGGTACATTATTCAAAGTAAACTTTTGTTTCCATCTTAGTTCTAAAGACTCTATTGACAAGATTTCAAAAATTTGATCGTAAGATCTAGCCATTCTGCTGGATTTGAGCACTTGAGGCTTTAGATTCTGGGGAGAAATCTTTTTAATTTGCTTTCTATAAATTGAAATTAACTTGATCAAATGATTATTAGGGTTTAAAGAACTTGATTTTTCAGAAATTATAAAATTGAAACTCTTTATGATTAAAGAACATAAAAGATTTTTTTTTTTTTAAAGGTGGGGGGCCTTGAGCAGGGTTTGACTTTTTTTTTTCTTTCTGGACTGAAATGGAGGCTTTCTTTCAGGCGAATTCCCTGATGTTTGCTCTGTGTGATTTGGCTCTATCTCTGTAACTGCTAATATGTGGCATGGACTTCAGGTTGTTTGGGATCTGGATGTGCACAAAGTCTGTGTTGCAAGCCCGGATTCACAGACAGTATGTTACAAACCTGGCTTGCTGCCTCTGTTTTCTTTTTCTGTGTCCTGAGTAGCTGCATTGTTTGTTGCAGTATATGCATTGCCTGTTGTGTGTGTTCAGTTTCCTTCAGACTGACAAAGTGGGAGGGGCTTTGATACATAGCTGGGTTTTCACTGTGAGTTCTTGAGTGCACATTGCAGCCATCTTAATTACACTTTTGTGCAACTGAGACTGTGCAGCTGTCTCAAAATGGCTGCTAACCTAGTCTTTGTAGCTGCTTAGGCAGCAAGTATGTTAGTGAGGAGACTTGTCACATACATCAGGACCAGAGGTAAGAACCAATTACTCTTTTCTTTAAACAATCTAATTAAAAATCATTTGAATTTAAATGAATTTATATAGGAAGGCAAACTTATAGCTTGCTTGCTAAAAAGTTGAAATGTTTACTAGAACTATAAGCCTATATTATGGAAACATTACATAGGATGGTGAGGTCAAAGGTTAAATTCCTGTAATTTCCTACAATTTTTATATTCTGTCATTGTCAGAACATTTAATTACCATAGTAGTGCTTTTTTGGCCTGATTAACTTAATTCTCCTATATTGGATATTTTGGTTAGTTTGATATTTATTTGTAGAAATTGAAACAATATATTATCTGAACAGGTTTTTAAAAAACAGAAGTCTAAATAAACCATGCAAAGGGTGTAACTTTTCTGCTCTTTTTTTTTTTTCCCCTGTGTATGTGGGGGTTATTGCTTGGAAGCTTTCAGGAAGAATGGTTATTCTCTATATAAATCTTAGAAAAATATTTTAATACTCTTAAATCTTTTTGAAAAAACTTCATTATGGGTCCCAAATCTTTCTTATCATACTGTCTCCTCTGAGATCCAACTCTCTTCACATTCTTAATAGTGCTTCACTTTTTTCTTCATAGTACTTTTTAATTTAATTGACATTTAGATTCAGATTTAGAATTTAGGAATAAGGTTACATCTAAGCCTGGATACCTTTTTACTTTATGTGTAGTGTATTTTAATGCCATTATAGCTGGAGTAAATAATTGTTTTAATTAACTGATGATATTATGCCTATTTAAAAGTACTCTAATTCAGTAATTTTGTAAATGTGGTTTCAGAAGTTTCAGAAAGCATTCTCAGTATTGTTCTGAAGTAGAACCGTTTATTGAGATACTTACTCCAAGGCTCTGTGGTTACCCAAAAAGGTGGGAGAACGAAATTCTTATTCATGTAATATTTCATATAGCAGAACATTTATACTTTAAGCAGTGCTTAAATCACAGTATTTACTAGATTTTTTCTGTTAATTCAAATAGTATAGTATTCTCCTGTGACATTGTCAGTGGATTATTATGAATATATCCCTGACTAATATGACATAGAACAGTAAGTCTGAACTTTCAAGATAGAGCAACTTTCTAAAAACAACATTTTGCAAATTAAGTTCTTACAGAGGACCCCAATAAATAAAAAAGGGTTAATGTGATATTTTCTTGTTGTACTTTTCTTTTATTGAATAAATTTATAACATCATACGTATATTTAATAAAATGAAGATAGTTACACAGTTTATGAAAATGCTTCAAATTAGATCATATATGATAATTATAACATTGATAGTTCCATTTAACTCATTTATTAGTAATTCACTGTGGAAATTCAGTTTGAAATCAGACTGTATCTATGTTCTGTTTTGATTTTCATGAAGGTAGACTATAAGACTATATTTATAATACTTAATAGGTTAAGGTTGCTGCCTTATCACAAACTTGTTTTTTTTTTTTATTGTTACTTGTTAGTTTTTTTAATTGTTAGTTAGAGAAAACTAAGAATAAAAAATTCAATATATGTAAGGTAGCCTGTTCATTCTTTCAGTAAAGTCATGCCCTGTAGTGTGTTTGAAACATAAATACTCTGTGACCTTAATCACTTTCATTTTCATGCTTATAGTATGAATAGCTTACTGTCTTAGTTGCAGAGGTGGAGGGAAGGAAATATACATTTTAGTATTTAAAATATGTATATTTTAAAAATTACATAATGCAAGTGACCTTCTTGGTTTGGTATTCTCTAATGCTGGAGAAACCCTGACTAGGCTAAAATTACGGAGCAATTTATGTTGGTTTTCAGAATGGGACATAGGGAAATTTTAGTGATCCACTTCTTTTGCCTTCTATTGCTGACTATAAAATTTGCTCCCACCTTTCATAAGATTATTACTTGTACTTGGGGAAACACTAGCACTCTGTGGTTACATAGGGTATTATTGCTAATGCTTTCACTGCTGTGTTGTATTTTTGCAACTATAAATATAAACTATATTTCACTGTGATTACTTTGGGGTGGGGGCAGTTTTCAAATTTTCTATGCTTAATTACAGGTTAGTTATTATGTTGGACAATTGAGGGCATAACATATCTGAGAGCTGGATAATTGGGATTGTTTATTGTCACCTTTTTTTTTGTCCCGTTTGTTTATCTTCTTTTTATAAGCCATTTCATTAACATAATTTTTTAAGGGAAATGTGGGAGTGTTGGAAAGCACATTAACCAAGAGTTCAAATCTGAATTTGAATCACGTTTTGACTACTGGTTTCTGATATTGACCAGCTCATTCCATTTTCTGATTCTTGTTTCCTCATCTACAAAATGGGTAAAAATTCCTGTTTGGCAACCATATGCTGAGAATCAGTTTGCATATTTCTAAATAGTACCATGAAATAATCTATGTATATCAGACATTCTCATTTTGCCAGTAAGTTTTGCATGCTTTCAGTTTGTTGCTCAGATGTCCTTTACTTTATCAAGCGTCACTAGATCGAAGTATTTTGAAAAAGTGTGGAAAATTTTCATATAACTCATGCTCAGAAGTGAGAAGTTGCTAGCTAACATTCAGTATGTCCACTTTGTAGTGTTATATATTTATGTTTGTACTACTCTGTTAAATAAATTAGCCAGCCATCTTTTGCTGTGCGTGGGTAATGACATATATTTATTAAGTAAAACCAATATAAAAAGTTGGCATTATAGAATTAAGAGTAGTAGGAGCAATGTTTCAGTTCTGGTCTGGGTGAATCCTCCAAACATAGTGTAAGAAAATGAATTCTCTGAAAAGATGACTTGAACTCAGGGCCTAGTTTTTCCTGTTTCAGTATAAATAAGAGTCCTTTTAAGAACAATAACATTCTCTTTCAGTGAACACAAACTGGCAGCCACCAGACTTATTTATTTATTTTTTGTCTTTTAGCCATTCCTGTGTTTTTCCAGTTGTTGACATTTAAAGTTAGATTTCAGAAGAAAATCAAGATGTCTCACTTTTTGAAAAGATAGGTCAATGTTAGGCATGCATTTCTGTTTAAGAACAGTAATCTAACTTGAGTAGATACTGTCTCCTTCATATTCTTGCTCACATATAGTCCTTTTTAGCTGATTCACATTACTTACCAGGTCTCTGTAGGTTGGTTATCTTAAATCCCCATACTGTTTATTTAATGAAGTAAGTATTGGCAGCCTTAACTTTCTAAAATATATCTAATGTGGAACAAAGTAAACTTGTAGGAGAGTTCTAGCACAAGTAAAAATTAGTTCATTCTCTAGAAGATAGGGCACATTTGTTAACTTTTCACTTTGTTATAATTTTTATATTGAGTACAATGGGACCAGATGAAGAATATCCACAAAAAGTGACAATCAGTTGAAAATGAAGGGATTAAAGAATGCTCATTAGAAACAGATTGTCTGAGGTCTTAATGTGTGTGGATTATCACTGTATTAGAGACATCACTGTCTATCAGCTTGGTGTTCTTAATAATGATACCAAATAAGAAAAAGTTAAACTGTCTTTTAGATATGCAGTTTTTTGAATTAGGTCAATAAAATAACATTTTATAAAAGGTGTTTTTTTGTGCCTCCTCCCCAACTGATTGAGCTAAGAAATTTAGACAAAATAATGAGTAAGGGTTAAGAAAATTTTCTTAATTGCAAATGTTTCCTAGTAGGATGTTTCTTAACTAGATAAACCACGTGATAAACCACGTCAACACTGTGAAGATTATCTTTGTTGCACAAAAGATGATAGTTTATAATCTTGGTCTTAAATTTGAATTCTGTCTTTTCCAGAGTGAAAGCCAACTTTTTAACATTCGTAAAATACCAGGATGTTGGTAATGCTAAGCAAGTGCTAAAAACAAAACAAAACAAAACATTATTCCTTTTTGAAAAATAGCTTTGCATTTAAAGGTAAAACTTTCATAAAAATTGAAAATATGGTTAACTGCATAGGAAATGTGGAATCCCTGCTTTGCTACTACTCACACTCCCAAAATAGAGTGATTTGGGAAGAAAGACACTAACATATATTCAAATAAGAGTTTTTTTTTTTTAAACGTTCATTTTAGAACTTTCACCAAGTATCCTCTGATGGTGATTTGTGGCAGTCTGTTATTAGTCATGAACATATGCATATGGAAATGGTGCAAACAGTATTGCCTGGTGAATCTAGGCAATGAAAGAGGGAGTTTAACACCACCAAGATGTCTGAGGAGTTACTTCTGCATTTGTCTGAGGGTGTCTGTTTTTCCTTTCTGAAATAAGCTGGATTCAGCTGCCAGTAGAAATCTTATATCTGACTGGTGCTTTCCTTTGCTGGATATAGAAGGAACTGAGGCATGTGTGGTGGATAGCATTAATATAGAAGTCTAGAAAGATTATTCCTGGTCTGGTGCTGCTATTAATTGTATAGTTTGGGATAGATTACTTAACCTCTTTCTACACCAACTCAACAGTTAGATTCAGAGTGAATCCATGTGCTTCCATTGGATAGTTAAAGATTAAATGAAAAATGTGTACATACTGCTTAGATTCCATACCTATTTGTAGTATGTGTTCCATATGTCTGGTATTTTTATGGGATGAGGCAAGTTTCTTATTTTCAGAATCTCGGTTTTTCTTATTTTTAAAATGGGAATAATTTTATCATACAGAGTTTATATTGGGATTTAAATGAGGATAACAAATGTAAAGCACCTGGTGCAGAGTCTGACACAAAATAAGCGTGAGTTAAATATTGGTTGTTTTTGTTTCACAGGGTTACCTTTAGCACAGAATTTTATTTTCCCAATCATTATTTTAGGAAGAATGGATTTAGGGTGAAGTCTGAGTTACTAGGTACTTTAGAAAAAGATCTTTAGAGGTGAGGACTTTGTTAAGAGTGTGGCTGATTTATAGTAAAAATGCTAGAGATCAAGGTGTTTAAAATCTCACAGTGTAGACTTTTAAAGAGCCTAAATGGGACAAAACAAGAATTCTTATT